TCGGGAAACCTGCAGACAAAGTAATAATTTTATTATATTTAGTATAAGCTCAGCTTTGGTTTGTCTGTCACAAGAAATTTTCTATGGAAAATCCCCTGAATACTTTATAATATCATGATTCGCACAACTATCGTTTTTTTTCTGGCTAATAAGCGAATAAGACAAGAATAAATTTTAACAATAAAAAATCGTGTTTTTGTCATATTATCGCCCAATATTCGGATTACAAATTGCATCACTTTGTTCCAAATTTTGTCATTCCTGAGACGGAACTTTTTCCTTTGTATTTGCAGTAATGATGTTAGTTTAGGCACCAATGTGCGCTCATAATTTTATATGGCAAAGTCTTTAGAACCGGACCCGTGTTCATTTTTTCGTCCGCATGAAATTTAATATTCTACCCAAAAAACTGTAATTTAGCAATAAAAAGGTATCAGCAATTATTCACTGCGACAATGGTTCTCAAACCCTGGGGCGCGCCTGGCAAAAGGGGCGTAGACAATTTTTGAGGGTGCATGTAGCTAATTAAATCATTTTTTGAATATTTACATTCCAACCCCGTATTTTCAAAGTATTTTTTAATGAAGCATACTATCTATTGCTAGCTAGTTATTTTTGAAGTGTGGCGAGCATTCTCATAACAAGAGTTACATTGTAATCACCACAATTCGTAAAAATATTTTCATAGCTATATATATTATACTTATGAAATGTTTTTTTCTTCTTAAGATATAAGTACCAGTACTTCTTTATTGATTTCTCCATTGAAGCCTTCCTCAAAAACGTCTAGCTAACTGCTAGATCAGCATATATTTTCATATATTGAATTAAATTGAGTATACACTAATTTTGCGGATACAAAGATGTCTATATATCTTGTGTCATATTTATACCTATATTGCCTTCTTCGTTGATAGCATAGTCATATTATCCTGCATAGGATTTATTGATTTAATTTTATGGGCCAATCTGGCTAATCTCATATATGTAATTTGAAATTATCATGGTCTATGACCATGGTACTAACCAGTTGCTCGAATTACATTAGCTTTTCAATAACAATGTTATATAAAAGTACGTCCAACCGAGTGTATCAATGTGAATTCTATACCATTTGGCACTGGTTAACCACGCAATCCCCAAACTAAAATATCGTTTCCAGTGGCGATACTGTAACGCAGTGGTTCTCTAACTTCTTCGTATTGTGACGGCCTCCAAAAAATATGCTCAAGTTGCGACTCTTCGTGAAAACCACCTTTCAATAAAGGACCTTTTTTGCAATGAGTTTTCAAAGTCAGTGAAATTGCATTTAATGGGATGGGAAATACTTGCGTCTTTTTACAATTGTCACTGAACCGTGGTAAGAATTGTGAGAGCCGCACGCATTTACTCGAGATCGATATTTTGTGTGTATTACGGCCATGGTCGAAAAACCTGCTTCACATGAATACTAATTCCCAAAAGGGATCAAAGTGCACAACGCATTTCTCACCAAAGAAGAATAATCATTATTGAAGGAAATCCAATAACTCATTGCATTTTCAGAATTAAAATTTATTCTTAAAACGATTTCGTTCAAAAACGGCGAAGAAAAGCAGCAATATATTGTTGAAGCAAGATTTCGGCCAGTGAAACATGTTATCTAATAGGCCCAAACGGCATTTAGTAACATCGCATCCCCAGTTGCAACAAAAACCACGGAGATTTACTACTTGAACGATCTGAAATCAATGTAGCCTACGTCATACTTGTATTTTCAGACTTCTCGTATAGTATCGTTTCCACGCTTGTAATATTACTTTTTCTATGCGCCTAAAGGAAATTCAGCAAAAAAAGAAAAAAAATTTCGCGACGCCCGAGCAAAATTGAAACGACGCCCACTTTGACAACCACTGCTGTAACGTATCAATATAGCCGTAAATCCAATTGGTAATAGTCCGTTCATGTTCATAATTGTCTGTATTTAGAAATGTATTTCCTATTGCTATATCGTTGATTGCTGGTACTAATATTTTAGGTTATTATGTGTATACATCTATATATATGATAAAATAGAATAAACACACGGGTACGGATACAAGCATGTCTATATTTCTAATGTTTTATTTATTTTATACAGGTATTACGTTATTGATAAAATGGTCCTTATTATTCTGTGTAGAATTTACTTGTTTAATCTTATGAGCAAAACTTGTTTTTACCACAAAATATTATCATACTATAAAAAAGAATCCGCCTAAGCTCAGAGATGTAACTGTAAATTATCATGGTCTATACCAGTGGATCTCAAACTTTTTAGTCGCAATAATATATACAGTAAAATATACAACTTCATCGCCTCTCCGTTTAAACATTTGAGGTCAGAAACGAATATAATACAGAATAAATGAAAAAGATAAATCATAGTTTATAGTGTTTTTAATGAGATATATTAGCTTAGTGATCTTCCAGAAAGTTATTTTTTGTTTCAATTTTTGGTGACATTTTTGTCAACCACAATCTCAAATCACCTCGTTTACTGATCGAATGACGATTTCTTTGTTTTGATAGCACTCTTTTTGTTACAAACCCCTTCTCCACCATAAAAGAAGTCGTAAATGAAGGAATCCAGGTTTCTGCCTTTTTTTGCATGGTTTGTCAAATTATGAAAGGTTTACATTGAAAAGATGCATCTTTATAAAAATCACGCATTGATGGATCTGTCGAATATAACATATGAATTTTATTTCCTCATTTCATTGCTTTTCAAGAAGCATTGTAAAGGAGCAGTTAAATATTTTCTGCGATATTGAACATGCACAGTGTCTAATTATATTTGAATTGTAGGCTCGTTAAACGATTAACTGGTTTATACCACCTGGTAGTAAACAGTTAATAACCATGCCATTCATGTTTCAATCCAGAATCGCAATAAAATTTGAATACCGGTAATATCGGAGTGAGTCTAATCAAGTACATTGATATAACCGTGGATCTTACTACCTTCGGTGCTGGTTAACCATGTACTTCGTGTCCCAAACTGAAATTTTCAATAGGAATAATATATAAATTAAGCCAACTGCTCCAATGTAGACGTAAATCCCCTACGCCCGACTACCTTCCTTGGTAGTCCCAGTAACCAATAACCATACGTTTCATGTTGATATGTGTTCGAAGCTGGCAATCCTTGTTACTCCCAGTAACCATACAATTCATGTTAATAAGTGTTCAAAGTTGGCAATCCTTGGTAGTCCGAGAAAACACGCGTTTCATACTGATAAGTGTTCGAAGCTGGCAATCCTTGGTAATCCAAGTAACCATACGATTCATATTGATAAGTGTTCGAAGCTGGCAATCCTTGGTAGTCCAAGTAACCATTTGGTTTATATAGATAATTGTTCAAAGCTGGCAATCCTTGGCAGTCCAAGTAACCATACGATTCATATTGATAAGTGTTCAAAGCTGGCAATCCTTGATAGTCCTAGAAACGACGGGTTTCATATTGATAAGTGTTTGGAGCTGGCAATCCTTGGGTAATCCAAGAAACCATACGATTAATGTTGATAAGTGTTCGAAGCTGGCAATTCTTGGTAGTCCAAGTAACCATACGATTCACATTGATAAGTGTTCGAAGCTGGAAATCCTGGTAGTCCAAGTAACCATACGATTCATATTGATAAGTGTTCGAAGCTGGCAATCCTTGGTAGTCCAAGTAACCTTACGGTTCATATTGATAAGTGTTTGAATCTGGCAATCCTTGGTAGTCCAAGTAACCTTATGGTTCATATTGATAAGTGTTCGAAGCTGGCAATCCTTGGTAGTCCAAGTAACCTTACGGTTCATATTGATAAGTTTTCGAAGCTGGCAATCCTTGGTAGTTCAAGTAACCGTACGGTTCATATTGATAAGTGTTCGAATCTGGCAATCCTTGGTAGTCCAAGTAACTATACAATTCATATTGATAATTGTTTGAAGCTGGCAATCCTTGGTAGTCCAAGTAACCATACGATTTATATGGATAAGTGTTCGAAGCTGACAATCCTTGTTAAGCCAAGTAACCGTACGATTCATATTGATAAGTGTTCGAAGCTGGCAATTCTTGGTAGTCCAAGTAACCATACGATTCATACTGATAAGTGTTTGAAGCTGTCAATCCCTGGTAGTCCAAGTAACCTTACGGTACGGTTCATATTGATGAGTGTTCAGAGCTGGCGATTCTTGTTATTCCAAGTAACCATACGGTTCAAATTGACAAGTGTTAGAAGCAGGTAATCCTTGGTAGTCACTGTAATCATATGTTTCATGTTGATAAGTGTTTGAAGCTGGCAATATTCCTAATTCGCCGTTATTAAGTGCGAGTATTCACATCTTATATTCATGCGTGTATGTATCTATGTATGACGCTGCATCAATGCGAATATTACGACTCTAAAATTGTTTATCATGAGGTACCTATGCTAACATGTCTAATTTCGTTGCAAGCATAATCCTTATCATTCTGTATACTATATCATATACCCTTTTTTCAATAATCTTGAACCCATTTTCACCACAAATGGTAAGTCACGTGCAGTACCATACTATGTAAGTGGATCTGACAGAGGGTATTAATGTTGTTCTTAATCCCCTTGTCTGTTGATACCCATATTGATATCCTGTTGAGCGTTGGAAGTTGAATTGTATTTGAATAACGATAACATATAAGTGTATTAATATAACCTTAAATCTCACACCCATTGGTACTGGTTAAACCACATGGTTCGTGTCCTAAAATTAAATTTCCTATGATTTATTATAGCCGTAAATAACTTATAGCTAGTATAGACCTTGATTGGTAGTGTTCCTAGAACCCATGCTTTCATGTCCATAAGTTTTCAAATCTAGAAATATATATCCCCTATTTCTTCATAGTATATTTCGAATATTAATATATCATGTTCTTATAATGAATGCATAATATTTACAATCCCTGTGGCTAATGTAACTTATTGAAAATTATTTGTTGAAATATATATTTTTAGTTGTTGGGAAGAAAAAGAAGAGAGGACCTGAATATTAAGGTAAATATAACTCACAATGCCTGTGGTACACAAACATTCTAAGACGCCTAAGTTTGGAATTTCTCAAGTCTCGCGCTAACTAGTTAACAATGTGCTACAAAAACACAGATAGTTAGAACGGAAATTTTTGTCAATAAACACGTTGCAAATACGTGAATGGAACCTAAATAATGAAATAAATTAGGAAAATAGGGCGGACAAGATTTTAGGCTTTTTTAAGTTTCATCAATCAATCAATTCACGTCTCCTTAAAATGTTTACGTTCCCTTGTGAGGCGCACCCCACCGTTTGAAAACCACTGAACTAGTAAATAATTGACTGTTCAATATTTATATGATTAAATACAATATAATGCATTGAGCGATCATTCAAATTAAGTACGAATTGGAATTTTCGTGGAAGTCAGCAAATAATTTTAGAATAAACGAAAAATTAATAATTTATTTTTTTTAAACTTCTAGTATAAGTTTAGCTTCTCTGTGTTCCTGTTAAATACAATTCCAAAGATTGATAATGACATAGTTTGAACAACTATATCTCTTCACTGTATTTCTGTCAAATAGCATTTTTTGTGATTCAAATAACCTGATAGTGTCTTAGGTCAACGAAATTTAGTTTCACCTAAATTTAGATAGACTCGGTATACACATGATCATGACATTAAATTGATATTTTTATGTATTTTTAATATAAGATTACCTTTGCTTCACCTCTGCCAAACAGCATTTTTTGTGATTTATAAATTCAATACTTGATAATGAAACGATATATTTATTTTCAGTTTTCTAAAACACTGCTTGAAAGAGTCATTGCATCAAACGGAATCGACATTGTTAATAGTCTGGTGCATTTTGGAGTGAGATGGAAGCCTATAGAGTCTAAAGAGTAAAGAGCAAGTATGTAATCTTATAAATCTTTCAATTCATATTTTGTCAATTAAAACTGATATATCATGTTAAATCCCGCTAGTCAGGAAGAGCTGCAAATATTTAAATTCTTCTAACAAGATGTCCAAAATATTTTGCCCAATTTTATTGATATAATTTCGTAAAGTCATGTAATGCAATGGTTTCCACGCGCTAGTTCATGGGCAGGTGTTCAGTTTTTAGCCGGTATGCTATAAATTTTGCTGCTTTGTTAATTTCGTATACCTAATTTCCGAAAAGACGCGGGTTATGTTTCTTTTTGGGCGTCCTGCTATCGATGGCGAGTATCGAAGTATGTATGTGCCAGTCGCCAGCAATGGGATTATAATACTGGCAATGGGACATTTGCGGTTGCATTCATACAATTGGTCGGGCCTCATTTTATAATATTTAATATATTCATATTTTATGGGTTTGTTTCTTCGCCATAGCGTTTTGTCAGTTTTTCAATAATCTAGAACAGTAGTTTTAACCAGGGTTCAATCGAGATTTTGGTGTTCGTTGGAGCTGTTCCAGAGTTTCGACGAAGGTCGTTTAAATTAAAACAGTTTTTTATTATGGCACTTTTCTATCACATCGTCCTCAAATTATGCAAATTTAACTAGAGTTAATCTCAGATATTTAAACTTACACGTTCAACAACTAATAAATTAGCGTTGCTGTTTGTATAGTGTGCGCAGTTGTACGTTTTAGTGAACCTGTCATCTCCACGGATGTCGCGCGCTTGGGTGTTTGTGCTTATATGATAGTGCCCTTAGATGCTTTCCGCTTATGACTTTGAAACATCTTGGGTTGTTATGGAAAACCTAGGATTTTCAAGATGAATCTTTTCATTTTCTATAACCTTGCATGGAATTAGGCTTCCCCTTTATAAAGTTAGAATTGTGCTGCTAATTTCAACTGTTCGGTACAATGAGGTTTGGCGAGAGCTTTCAGAATACCGCAGAAGTTCCACAGGCTCGGAAAGGTTAAGGTTAACTAGAATTTGAAAAATCATACAACGTTACGTAGTATTATTTTTTTCGATGTTGCCATTTCGCGAGAGTAGAAACAGACGGGTACAAATAGATTTATTGAAATATATATATTCAATTCATATCGAATTAGATTTTCTGTCATTTCATAACCCAAAACTTGACATAGTTCACATAATGACATAGTTTGAAAAATTTCTGGTACATTCAAATTTTAACCCCCAAGTGGAAATTAGATCGAAATAATTAAATACTCTTCTGAAATTAATCAATTTTTGTAAAATTTACCGCCTTCGAATACCACATTGTGCCACCAAAACTTTTTGTTGAATAAGTTTTTTATATTAGGGCTTGACTTATTGAAATATTTAAATTATTCCCCGTTAGATCGGAAAAGTTCGAAATAGTTTAATATTTTCGAAAAAACTTATTGTGTTTCAAGTATATTACCACAATTGAGAATGTTTCTTAAGAAAAATGAAAGATTTGTGAAAACACCCTCGCCATCTCAAAATGACAAAATATCAGTTGTTCATCTTGGGTTAGGGTTCGGGTTAAGAATGATTTAAAAATTTGAAATCTGCATTCGTGTTGAGAATGATTTCTTTTAAATTAATGCTTCAATTGAATTGAATTTAAATTTGTCATTAACCTAAATGCTCGACCCAGATTTGTGTTTGGTAAATTTTGATTTTCATTAAAATACAAAAAAGTCTGATAAACAATAATTTATTTCTAAGTCATTGTCGCATGAATGTCTTATTCGTACAAAAATACATTGGGAAATGCTAAATGATGTTTATTGTTTTTACTTGAGTAAAACAGTAAAGATGGAAAATAATTATATTAATCTAAATATTGAGGAAATGAAGGCAAAAGTATCAACAAAAAGCGCTGGACGTTTCCACGAATTTATGAAAGAAATAAAATGGTCACTTCTAATTCTCTGATAAAGGGTAATTAATTGATAGATTTGAAAGCACGTAACATGACGAATTTTTCTAAATTTTTTAGAATTTTCTAATTTTGTCGTAACTATACTGATCAGTTTGTTCTTCATTAAGAGTACTTTTGCAGAACAATGCTGTATTACACAATGGTATTTAGTGAAAATCTTAAGCTATGTGGTGAAGAGAGAAAATGAGCTGCAAATTTCTTGTCCCTTCATGTTCCATAGAAAACAGTTCCAAACAGGCTGGCAAGCCAGAAAATATCCAATTTACACTGCACACATGCCGAGTCATATTAATAAGGTCCTCGCTTAATGGTTTGTTCTTCTATTTTGGCTGATCCTCTGCTAATATATGGACATTTATAAACTTGTTTTGGTATCCCAAGGGCATGATAGATGATACTGTCGTTTTGTGTCGTTTTACCATACGTAGTTCGTCAAATAGCCGCGTTTTTATTACTTTAACTGGTCATATTTTAAAAATATGTTAATTTAACTATAAATATTAAAGAAAACGAATCTTCCAAATCAAATAAACTGACTTTGGGTTTAATACAAAATATAGAACGCTGTTACCTTTATAAAGAGGAAAATATGGAATACATGTAAATAAGAAAAATGTCTGTCCATTTTAAACTTCAACGGACATTTTTTTCTGTAGTTCTTTGCGTTTTATACTTTTTCATTTGTTTTTGTTGTTGTAGAGACTTCATGATAATATTGATTTTACATTTTTTTTTCATCTTGGTTTTTGAAAAAGACCATATAGTTGCTCTTCCTAAAAGGTCATTTATAAACTTGTCCTGGTGTCACTATGCCATAAAAATATAATATCATTGTAACTTACGGGTCGTCTTCTGATAATCGCGTTTTTATTACTTCAACTTGGTTCCAATTTTAATGCTTGATTCAAATTAGAATAATTTCAAGTTGAAACACGTTCAAATATTAACTGAGGACAGCTAAACTAACCCAATATGCTGGGTTCATTTTGCAATAATATCGTCTGGCTTGAATATTAATTTTTTAACGAATGCTTATATTACTATCGTGTATTGTTTACTTGTTTTATTTTATATTTATATGCGGTATATTGAATTTTCATTTATTTCAATTTCGGTTTGGAATGGTTTAAATGAGTGTTCTACCTTCTGCTTAAAACAAACATCAATGTCGTTGTACAGTCAGTGCTGGTCAAACGAAATTAAAAGGCTTTCGGAAAAAGGCGGGTATCGGTAATATCGGCAGAATATTTGGTATCGGTATTCGTATCGATATCGGCTAAATGTAGACTGATATTTCAAAGATAATTAATTTTTTAATCTATTTAAAAATGTTTTTGAAAGGTAGGTTGAAATACTGATATGAAAATTGTTCTTTGCTTTCCACAGTATTAGCCTCGATAAGTCTGAGCAATGCCGTTTCCCAACCGCGCGAATAGAAACGAGAATAGGCCACCCACAGTAGCCAAACCCGATAAGTTATCTAACCCAGGGGTTCTCAAACTTTTGGTGTTGCGGAGCCCTTGAAAAGGTTGACTATTATTCACGGAGCCCCAAAATAAATGTTAAAATTGTTACTTTCAGATTAATATTCCTGAGCAAGTTAAACGTACTTTACTTAATTTAAATGCTGAACCTTTTTTAATAGGGTTAATGCAAGTCATAAATAAATCTCAATTTCAAAGATAAATTATACATACTCTTACTAAAGCTGTAAATTTGACACTTGACAAACATATTGAACTAGGGGTCGAATCTTTTCCCTTATGACATTTTCGGAAGGCCGCTAATAACGTGCGCGATTGCATTTTGTCACAATCACCGATAGTAAATTATTCTCTGTCTACTTCATTTGCTTTCAGTAAAATATTTAATCTGCTGTGTTGGACATCCTTATTTCAAGCAACGATGACGCAAGGTTAAAGTTTGACAATTTAATAGCCCTCAATTTGTAAAGGAATGTATGTTAGACAGATGTTATTACAAGACGTTAAAGCAAGTTTGGGTCACACGTAGAGATGTGAGTTTCAGAATTTTGAATCAAATTCTATTGGAATCGAATCGGAGCCATTTCAAAAATATGTTAGTGATTTTGATTGAAACGATGTATCCCAATGACGCTAAATCGACACGCCATGCGCGCAATGGTGGAATTTACTGATTAATTGATTCAAATCAATCTGTCCTGTGGATATGATTTAGCAGCGCAAGTGAGAAATTGTCGAAGGCAATAAAATAGATGGAATAATTCTTGACGATTTTTGAACCTCCTTTATCACAATATATTCAAATTACAATTTATAAAATTGTAAACTCTTTTCAAGCCCCTGAGACATCTCCAGCAAACCCAGGGTACTAATTTATTTTTTTTTTAATTCTAAAAAAACATCTTGTGTAATGTAAGTAAAAAATTTTGCTTTGACTTTCACTATTATCGCGTACATTTATCGCCAAGTTTGTACCTACACCGAAGTCATAAGATTTTTTTATTCTTAGGTCGGCAACCTTCGGATTTAGTTAGACGATGAGACACACTGGCCTAGTCTTTGCTTATTGTAATGCCTCTCTGATACAATGACGTCACAACTAATCTGTTATAACGTCATAATAGAGATTTCGAGTTTATTTCTTAGCACTTTTTCCATACAAATTAAGTTATTATTTCTGTTAATACTGTTCGTTTTTTTTAAATTAGCATACTTAGGGAGGTATTTAGGTAAAGGGATAGAGTTTTTCAAAGTTATGCAAACTCATTTAATTACCGTATTTACATTTCCGCCAAGTGGTTCACAGGGCGGTTTCGTCGCAAGGTGGATTACAAATGGCTTATCGGTTGCGTCTTCCTGCGCCAATCACGTTTGCGGACGCATTCAACTATAACATGAGAAGGCATATATATATGGGAAAGTCATCGATAATTGTGGCATTTCGAAGGGTTAATTGCGAATACGTGTCTGGCAAGTTTGAAATCCATTTTTCTTTAACTTATTTAATACAAAAAAATTAAAAAAAAAAATGATTTAAAACAATTCTCTTTGAAAA